CAGATCAGCCCGACTCAGAGGAGTTCCCTGAAGAGGAGAAAAGACACACACACACACACACACACATGCAGGGGTCACGGAGCGAGATCATTAACTGCAGTAGAGACAGATGGACACACACACAAACACACAAACTCTCTCACATGCAGTCAAACACACACACACACACACACACACACACACATACAGACACATACAGTTGCAAGAAAGAGTGTGTGAACCCTTCAGGATTGCTTTAATTTCTGCATAAATTGGAGTGAAAGCGTGTCCTGCTTCAGTCACACCGTCTGCTCACACTAATGCCACACAAACATTATCTGTTTTTATTGAACACACCATCTAAACATTCACAGTCAGGGTGGGAAAAAGTAAGTGAACCTTTGGGTTTAATAAGTGGTTGAGCCTCTGTTGGCAGCGGTAACCTGAATCAAACACTCTCTGTAGCTGCAGACCAGGCCTGGACAGTGTGGAGGGATTCTGGACCATTCCTCTTTACAAAACAGTTTCAGTTCAGCAGTATTGTTAGGATGTCTGGTGTGAACTGCTCTCTTGAGGTCATAACACAGGATCTTAATCGGGTTAAGTTCAGGACTCTGACTGGGCCACTCCTGAAGGATAATTTTCTTCTCTTGAAGCCGTCCTCTGCTTCTCTGCTTTGGGTCGATGCATCACCCATCCTCTGATGAGCTTCAGCTGGTGGACAGATGCTCTTACAGTTTTTGCTGAATGTCTTGATAAACTTTGAAATTCACTTTTCCTTCAACAACTGCAATCTGTCCAGGTTGTGGCTTAGATCAGATTTTCTGTCCAATTTATGCAGAAATCCAAGTAATTCCAAAGGGTTCACATACTTTTTCTTGTACCTGTACACTACCTGACAGAAGTCCAAGATTGAGGAGCACAGATACTAACTGCTCTTCTAGTTGCTGATCTGGCATCAGAAGTGTCTCTATGAAAGGTGAAGGCCTCTAGATTTTGCTGATTTGAGCTCAATAAATCTGATCATGTCTTGATGTTGACTGATTTGATGAGGACAGTGCGCTCTGACTCTGCTCAGACTAAAGTCTCATCACTGAACAGAAATAATGTCCAGTATAGAATATAAAGTCCTGCTGCAGTGGAGACAGAATGAAGATTGTGTCTGACTCCATCATGAGCTTGGAGGACTGCATCCATACATCTCTGACATGACTCACATCACTGATTAATAAAGTCATCTGGAATGAAGAAGAAAGCTTCAGCAGGATCCCAGAGTTCATCAAGAGTCTTTGTGTTCATCTTCAACACCTCCTACTTCATCAGCTCAATAATGTTGATGTCTGGTGACTGGGCTGGCCAATCCTGGAGCAGCTTGACCTTCAGGAGCTTTGATGTGGAGGCTGAAGTATGAGCAGGAGCGCTATCCTGCTGGAGATGTCTTGATACCTCAGGCTGTTGATGTTGCAGATCTCTCGCACGCCCCCATACTGAATGAACCCCAAACCATGATGTGTCCTTCACCAAACTTGACTGATTTCTGTGAGGATCTTGGTCCATGCTGGTTCCAGTAGGTCTTCTGCAGTATTGGTGATGATTGATGCAGATCAGCAGATGATCCAGCAGAGAAATCCACCTTCTGACACTTTCACACATCATCAACTAGAAGACCAGATACTATCTGCTGCTCTCACAGCCGAGATCCAACACAAGACTTCTGTCAGGGAGTGTTTATACAAACACACTCTCTCCCTCTCTCACACACACTCACACACACACACACACACACACTCACGGGCAGGATGGAGACTTTGGGGAAGTTGTGCAGTGTTTCCCACTCTCTCTTCAGGTACTCCAGTGAGCCCACGAACACGATGGGCTTCAGCTCATGGTAGTGGAAGTTGCTGGCTCTCAGCGGCATCACCAGGTTCCTCAGGCCAATCAGAGCAGACTTCACATCCCCGAAAATACAGACCACCACATGACCACTCAACACCGTCATCGCCGCCTCACTGCGCGTCTGAGACACACACACACACACACACACACACACACACACACACACACACACACACACACACACACACACACACACACCATCAATATACATACAATATTACACTCTGTTCACACAAACACAGGTATCTTCTGTATTTAAACCTGAAATTCAGTATCTGGAGACTGAAACACAAACTCAGGCCAGGGTGAAGATGTGTTTCTGTGTGGAGTTTGCATGTTCTCCCCGTGTTGATGTGGGTTTCCTCCGGGTGCTCTGGTTTCCCCCACAGTCAAACACATGCGCTATAGGGGAACTGATCAACTACACTGACTGTAGTGTATGAGTGCGTATGGGTGTTTCCCAGTGCTGGGTTGCAGCTGGAAGGGCATCCACTGTGTAAAACATATGCTGGAATAGTTGGCGGTTCATTCCCTGATGAAGAAAGGGCCTAAGCCGAAGCAAAATGAATAAAAGAATGAATATATTCTCACCAGGAGGACCCTCTCGATGTCCTTCGATGGACACCAGTGAAACATCCCTGTGGAATCATACTTCTTGATGTTCTCATCCATGGTCTCCATCTCCAGCAGCGGATCGTGTCTGAAATAAAGAGCACAGACAGTCTCTGATTGGTCAAACGCATCTGTCAGTGCTGCAGTGCTGTCTGATACAGCAGAAGAGGATCCTGGGAACCCCGGCCGGTGTACAGGACCTGATGGAGAACAGGCTGTCCATCATCTGCTATTATGAGTGTTTCCTCCATCATCAGAGACTTTCCTCCAAGTGGTGTCATCATACATCATGTACAGTAAAGCCACACACACACACACACACACACACACTTCTCTATTTGTGTATATATAACTGTATGATCTATAACTGTATGATCTATATTTCGCTCTAAGTTTGACTTGTTTTTATTAATGACTGTGATTTAACATGAATAATTAGCGGCGGCTGTCTTGAAGTATTCAGAAGTCGTTATCCTCATGTCCTGATTCAGCATTAATGTGTGTTTTTAATTCAGCAGCAGCTCTTTCATTCATCAGTACAGTGGAGGACGGCTGATTCTGGCTGATGGCACACACACACACACACACACCGGCCTGTTATTGGTTGGTGCGGTGGCCATATGATCCAGTGGCTTCTAATTAGTGGCTTTGTGACCCATTGGCATCTGATTGGATGACGTTTCAACCATGTGACCTGCTAACCTCTGATTGGCTGAAGCTGCAACCATAGATCCACCGGCCCCTGATTAGCCGGACCTCACTAGATTCTGATTGGTTGAAGTTTCAAGCGTGTGGCCTGCTGGCCTGTGATTGGCTGAAGGAGCGACAGTTTGACACACCATCCCTTTAAATGGCTGGGACAAAGCCAACTGGCCTTTGATTGGCTGAAACTGTGGCTGTGTGGCTCTGATTGGCTGGAGCTGCCATGTTTGACTCTGATTGGTTGGAGAAGTGGCCATTCATATGTCCTAATAACTTCACTTTTTAACTTTTAATTTGTGAAATCAGGCGATGCGGTGACGCAGAAGGTAGTGCTGTCAACTCACAGCAAGAAGGTCACTGGTTTGAGTCTCGGCTGGGTCAGTTGGTGTTTCTGTGTGGAGTTTGCATGTTCTCCCCGTGTTGGTGTGGGATTCCTCCGGGTGCTCCAGGTTTCCCCCACAGTTCAAACACATGCGCTATAGGGGAACTGGGTAGGCTAAAATTGTCCATAGTGTATGTGTGTGAATGAGTGTGTGAGGGCGTTTCCCAGTGATGGGTTGCAGCTGGAAGGGCATCCACTGTGTAAAACATATGCTGAATAAGTTGGCGGTTCATTACGCAGTGGTGACCCCTGATTAATAAAAGGGCTAAGCCGAAAAGAGAATGAATGAATAAATGAACTGTTGAATTCATAAAGGAACACTACATTACCCATAATGCTGTGCAAAGCTCCATAAACCAGACAGTAGTGAGGAGTCATTCTTGAACGATTCATTTAATTTGAATGAATCATTATTGTGACTCTGGAATGAGGAGTCGTCTGATGGAGTGATTCGTTCATTAGCTCATGCGCACATTGCACAGGTGCAGGAGGAGATTCGTTCACTGTGTGATTCTTCAGTCGGGTTTGAGTCATTCATTCATCAAGGGAGAGACAGAAGAGAATCATACGTAGTCAGAGCCGGGAGACGATTTGATTCGTTCATTTCTTGAGTCCTCAGCTCGAGTCGATTGTATCTGTTGATGGTGTCAGTGAGTGTGTGCTAATGAGGTGTGTGTGTGTGTGTGTGTGTACGTGTTTTTGTGACATATCAGGACACAAATCTGTATAATGACATGGGTATGACACAGGTATTACAAAAAGGAGGTGAAATATGAGGACATTGGTGACGTCCTCATTTCTCAAAATGCTTATAAATCACACTGAATGAGTTTAATCAGAGAGTAAAGCTGCACACAGTCTCCTGTGGTGGTTGGGTTTAGGGGTGGGGTGGGGTGAGGGCAATATAATTTACGGTTTGGACAGTATCAAATGAATGGAAACCTATGTAATGTCCCCACTTTTCACAAAAACAAACATGTGTGTATTTGTGTGTGTGTGTGTGTATTTGTGTGTGTCTGACCTGATGAGGTTTTTGGGGGAGCAGGTGGGGGATGTCCTCATTCCTCCATTACGCTGCTTCTTCTTGGGGGAGAGAGAAGAGTGCTGCTCCTCCTCCACTACTGCAACACACACACACACACACACAGAAACACGCTGCATTAACACACACTCACTGACACCATCACACAGATCTCACAAACATGCACACACACTGATGCCATAAACACATACAAACACACACAGACACACAACACTG